CATTCAAATATCACCCCACTCTGCTCTGTTGCTGGTATGTGGTCCTACTTTTCTGTTGACTCCACCACTGAAGTCATCTTCTGTGCTGACCCCTACGCCAACATCCTTACTTCTGAAGCCTCCCGTTTCTCCAAGCTGTTCTTCCCTCTGGCTTGAGTGGTATTTCTCAAAATTAGAATTAGGATGCTCTTTTCCTCAAAAAAATCTATGGCTTCTAAACACCCAGGGAAAAACATTCAGACTCTAGCAAGTGCCAATTCCGAAACTGCATATATTGATCCTATCCTGTCCTTCAAGTCACATCTCCTACTCCTTGCTTCCAGGAATGGCAATCACGCCCCAGCTACATCGTGCACCTCCCCCCTGCCCCACCTTTGCTGTCCTCTCAGCTCACAATACCTTGGCTATAGTCCTCTACCTTTGACGTTTGTCTTTCAAAGTGTGTGGCTCAGCTCACAGGACCCCACGTCATGAGGTCTGTTACAACCACACTCTTATTCACGCCCCGTTTTTCTGTCTACACCACTCTTTCTCTACATCCTGGATTCAGTATCAACAGCATTCTGCCATGCCTGATGTTAATTTCTTGCACGTTTTGTCCCTCCAGTTGGGACGCACACTCTCTCACTCATTCCATCTGTCAAGTGTCTCCGGGGTTCCTGCCCCAGCCACTATTCTAGACAATAATCATACAAAGAGCGCATTCTCTCTCTCAACAAGCTCAGTCCAGTAAGTGATAAAACATGTAAATAATGTGATATGGTGAGGTAAGTGTAATAAGGAAGTCTATAAAGGACAGGGAATAGGGAGACAGTGTGATAAGCACCAGACTTAGATTCAGAAGGCTCAGGTTCAAGATCTGACTCTGCAATGTAACTAAGTTATGATAGATAAATCTCCTTGTTTCAGCTTTCTCATTTGCAAACTTAGGATCCTTACCACCTAGTGTTCTGTAAGGCTCAAAATAAAATTAAATGGTGAATTTCCATTTGCTCCATCAGATTCATTCTCTGTCCTTTTTCTCTACTGTCTGACTCTGATCTCTAAGCAAGAGGGTCCTCTCCACATGGACTCTATGTCTACGTCTCCAGGTTCTGCTAATTGCTCCCTCCTCTGGCTCCTTATGTCCTAGGAGTAGTCAGGCCCCAGGGTAACTGTCCCTTGGGGGTTCCCTGCACTCTACCCACACCTTTACAAATAATCTCTTTATTGAGGGCTCCTCAAATTACCCAAGTCGAATGTGCCATCTGTTCCCTGCCAGGATTCTGACTGATAAAAGTGCTTTTCCAACTTGAAGTTGCTGTCTAAATGCAAGGTATTTCTCATTTATCTCTGTGCAGTGCTTTACACAAAGCAGATTGCTGCCGTTAATAACAAACTGTGAAGTGAATGTATGCAGGGATGAATGAGTGAATGACCCTGTGCTCTTCCACTCCAGTTACGTTTTTATCCAGGGGACACCTCCTTGTTGCCCTGATTGGATTTTGTCATGTTCTGATTTCATTTCAAAGGTCCCCTGTTCCCTTGGAACTCACTGTCTGTCAGGGGAAGCGTTAGGGAATCTACAGATAGGCTGTCTCAGCCTTTGTATGTTTCTAGTGGTTTGACTTGGAAGGGTTAACTATGTTTGAAATTTCTAGAACTGTCTCCCTTCAGCAGGCTGTACCCTTACCAGATATGGAAATGAGTTACTTATTTGTTCATTTACTTTTATTTTTTGTTCATCAACATAAAAGCTGACAAGTCAAAAGCAAGCAAATTGATTATTCCCCTATTATGTGGGAACCAAGAGCATATTTAAGGAATCAGTAACCCAGATTGGGGTAGTTTTTTCAAAAGCACAGTAAGTAAATGTGGGACAAATAATTGCCTCTACGGCCGCTTTTTCTAGGCAAGAGCCCAGACAATGAATGGACAGTCAGTTACCTTTGCCAAATGATCTAAACAAAGATAAATCACAGAATTCAATATCTTGGTATTTATGAGAAGCAGAGATCATGGCTAATTGGACTTGAATATTAAATTAATTTATTCCCAGCAATTGCAGACTATCCTTTTCTCCTGAATCCCCAGATATCTCAATAAAATAGAAGCTAAGCATTTTCCTATTATTTTAATTTTAGTTTGATGACTTAAAAATGAGGAGCTGACCTATGGAAACTATCTTTGGAAAACATACTTTTGAATAAACATATTTAATGGTATGCTTTGGTACTGAGTAAGTATTATTCATTAGCAAATAACAGCATAACTGGAATTCTTAATTAAAATTTGGCATGAGAAGTGAATCTGTTTATTCTGTAATTATGACCCAGAAATTCAGAGCATATTGGGATAGATTATGAACACAATTCCCCAAATTTTAATATAGCAAAAGAACTCACAAAGCCTTTAAAGAGGGACTCTTGGAGGAAAAATACACACACACACACCACGGCAGGTGTGAGCATGGACCCAGGTGCAATAATATTTGAAAAATCAACTGTTGAATGTAACTGTAATATGGAAATATTCTAATTTAATGGGTGTGTGGTAGTGTTAAAAAGCTCCAAACAGTCCTCTGGACCTTTCTGGATTTTCCAGAAAGGCGCTTAGCCAACAGTTTCTTCTTTTAGCTTTGTAATTGAAATACAGATTCAGGCAATGGCAACGTCTGTGAGGCTCATTTTTAAAGTTTTCCTTAAGAATGTAAGTTTGAAATGTTTCTTCAGCACTCAGGCTTTTAGAAGGCAGCCATGGAGGAAGGATCCCATTCCTGGCCCATGGTCAAGTGAATCGGATAAAAATTAAGTTGGTTACTAGGGCCACCCTGGTGAGAAAATCTGTTATAAAAATGTAATAGGCCTCATTGTTTTCATTGCTGACTGCCAGCTGATGACAGGTTCTAGATTCAAAGGCCAGAGAGATCTGGGGACAAGGAGAGCACGGGTGAAGGAACCAACCAAAGGTCAGACAAGCTGTAGGTTTCTCCCGAGCCTCCTTCTAGGACACAAGTGACACCCGCGTAACTGGGGCTGGTGGAGAGAGCACTCCTCCTGTCACCTCGTTTGTGCCATTGTTGACTCAGTGACAGACACCAGATTCCAGACCCGGATTTAAACTTATTGGCCAAATGTATCTCCCATGTGCTGCTGGGCCTTGCCACTTCATCACAGTTTAATAGGGCATTTTAGACAACTCCTGTAATTACAGGGGAACGCTAACAGTGTTTGCTATTGATTTTTATCCCAGAATGTCAACTTATTCCTGTCCCCTGTACATATACTATCCTCACTCCCTTGGTCGGCCAGGGAAAGACAGCAATTACCCAGAATCCTGTTCTTTTTTTTTTAACCAATAGGTGGCACTAGTGATTTCTGGCAATGAATTGGTTCTGTAGCTCTGTAGCCGTTCTCCT